ACACGTGTCTCAGAGATGAAGCTTGTCCGCGTGCAAAACACAGCTTACCTGGCCAGAGATTTCACGCTCCTGTTCGTCTACTTCGGCCGCCCAGTCTTCATCAGCCATTGCTACATAAAATTTAATCTGAAATTAAAGAATCGATAAAAGTTTCTGTCGACTATCCAAACGAGGTTCGCATGTAACGATGATCAGTCAGAAAATTGCTTCCGGTGCGTGAGGAGATTGGAAACGAGAATTCCGTTCGATTCTAGGTCGATTCGAGATCGAGCAGTTCCCGAGTCACAACAAGTGCAATTTTCCATGAAAATATAGCTCAATTATGTTGTTTGCTATAAACTGGAGAAGATTTTCAACCCTGAAATCAATAAAAATATGTTTACCACTCAGGTCAATCAAAATTCTGTGTTAAACAACAATTAAGAGGAGCGGAGATTTCTGTCGATAGTCCTTCGGGAATGCTCGGAAGTTGCTTAGCAAAGTTTGTAACAAGATGGCGCTGTTATCTTCTGCTTGAATAGCAATCCCGCAGAGAAAATTGTAAGAGACAATTCGTTACGCGGTGATGGCTAAAATACCAGTTTCCTCTGAAGTGAGACGTTTCAGCGAAGGTAAAAAAGATTGTGAAATACATTATAGAACGTGATCATGAAAATCTAACAGTTGAGATCAGTGTCAAGAGGCCAGTTAAGCATCAACAAGAATCAGGAAATTCGATAGGAAATTTAACGACATACTGCTGTAGAAAAATACACTCGTGACAGTCAATGCATAGATATTTAAAGCAACCACAAGATATCAGCTTTCAGTTTAGATTCGAACAAATAAAGGTTGGGAAAATGCATGAGAAAAGGTAAGTGAACACAAAGTGCTTCAGGGATCTGAGGAATCATGATCGAGAGAAACGATTTTCTGTGAGATTAAGTCTGCCCACTTTGCTATTTCTCTCTCTGAAATGCAGGAAATATTTAATTTATGGTGTTGTCTTTTTTGGAATAAACTTCGTGTTATTTGGATCAAGCTGTTTTCTCCAAAACAATTAGAATTGGTTAAGCTCTAAGGGAATGCAAAAGGTAAGCACACGTAGTAGCTGGAAATTTTTATTTCTTTTTTTTAGGGAAGTATGGAAGCCGGCCTCAATCACGTGCTGGTAACAGACCTCCCAGTAGCAGATCTGTAGACAGTCCCTTACCAGCGTATACAAATGATAAGACACAGGCAGCCCAACACAGAACTAATATAGTACAAAGTCAACCTCATGTCAGAGGTAGTTTGTTACGTCGTCATACTTCAGAGGACATTTCACATGGACATGAGTTTTCATTAGGTCATGCATCATTTGTTCCACGACCTCCTTCAAGGACCTCTTCAGAAAAATTAGAATGTCGACCTAAGTCAGCTAAGGGACGATTACGCCCCAGATCTGGACTCAAAAAGGAGAGTATAGCTTCAAGAGAGAACTTTCAGGTTGTTGGAGAGCAAGCATCTTTACTGACACCACTGAGATCACAATCATCATTTTCAAAGTACAAGCCACTTCCATCAATTGGTTCAGGTCAGAAAGTTGAGTCAGACTCAAACAAATCACAACTTGTTCTGGAAAAGACATTTGATAATAGGGATGATAGTGTTTTGCTACAGAAGACAGCTACTCTTTCATTAGAAAATTCACTTCCCAATGAACCAGATGATTCAGAACCTGGAAGAATTCATCTGGCTATAAAGTTATTAGATGGATCACGTCATGAAAGATGGTTTAGAAACACTGAGACACTTGGCACGGTGCTGGCCTTTGCTCAGTCATGTAGTGAAGACAGACTCCCTCTTTGCCAGTTCTTTACCAATGAGGTACCACGACAGGTTTTTAATAACTTTGATGTCAGTCTGACACAAGCTGGTATAAATTCAAGAACAGTTCTTCACCTGGAAGACATATGAGCATAACTAATTAAGTGCATTTTATAAAGTACTGGCTCGCAATACAACCTTTTGAAATTACCATATTTTGGATAAAAGGTGCTTATGTGGGAAAATGACAGAAGCACAGTGGCAAAGAAGGCATGATACAGGTCTACACACCACATGAGTAGGAAGGCAAGTACCATCATGTACTGTTCATGAAATTTTATCAAGATTTACAAATGCAAATTGTAAATGAATGTCAGCCAAAGGGAAGAAGCATTGATTTCTTAACTGGACTAACTTGAAAGGCAGGAAAGTGTGAAATATTACTGCAGAAGTCTAAAATATCTCCTTCTGCAACTGATCAATCATGACAATTGATCAATCATTGGGATTGGCAAAATGGAAGTGGCAACAGTCATTGTCTTCAGCTGCCAGATAACTTGGTATTGTGTAGATTTATTTAAAATCATTAAGAAAAAAATTCTTTTAAGATAATGTGTCAATCAATTTGAAGCTTC